GGTAGCAGTGGCGTCTTTGGAAAGATCATTAGCATCTTACAGTAGACCACAGAAACCTGTATATGTACAGTACAGTCAAAAACCACATAACATCTTTAGCTTTAAGAAATGCCTTCCTTTCATTAATGTTTCACATGGCCCCATATGAGCAAGCACTTGGCGACAGTAGAAAGATAAACTCCCTTTTAACAGAGAAGAACTTCGCACTGAACCAGGCTCAGGGGGACCCATCTGCTGTGACCTGCTGGGTGTGAGGGGAGGGAGACAGGACAAAAGTTGCACCGTGGAAAAGAGCCAGACATTAATAATAACTAAAAATGATACAGCTTAGCATCAAATTATTACCATTTCTCAACCTAACTTACACATGCATTTGAGATGACTGTTTGATTGTTTCATTACAGTCTTCTAACTGTCAAGGAATAAAAGTGCTCAATTATGTAAAGAAAACCAAAGACTGAAGTCTGACAAATAAGGTACGTGTAAATTCAAACAGAGATCCTGGAAACACGATGACCTTTCTCGGTCACCCTCCTGGCCTACTTGCATGGCTACTCAGCAAGAAGGCAAAAGTGAAAAATTCTCTGTGCTCCTATTAAACAGTGTAAAACAATTTCCACATTTTTTACACAGGACCAAGATAAAGACAAGCAATACACAGGATACACAATTCATTAAATTACAATTTAATATAAGGTTATACTTTCTAAAGGATTTGCAGACACAAGCACGCAGGATTTTCTCACCGTGAAAATCCTTCATAAATTGCACATTACATTTTTAAATTAGCATTATTTTTTGTCCTTTTATAGTGACAGGAAAGCAGCAGGAGAGAGAGAGAGAGGGGAACACATACAGCAAATTCAAACCTGCAATTAAACAATTAATTGCAGAAAAAATTGCCAGATGTAGCAAATGTTATTCAAATTAAAAGTCCTCCTATGCAATTTAATATATATGGTCACCTTTTGTCATTCGATAACATCCATGGTTAGTCAACACAGATTTAAGCTTCTCTTTTTTTTGATTGCACAAGTAAAGGGCTTGGTTATTTTTGTGTATCATCATTGGTTGT